GGATTCTGCTTGTTGCGTGGCGGATTTAGAGTTGCTCGGGTTCCAAGAAGCCTGCTCTGAGTACCACCTTCTCAGAGGGCAAGGTATTGTTGGCACAGCATTCACCACCACCAAGCCATGCTTTGCAACGGACATAACTGCCTTCACCAAAACGGAGTATCCTCTGTCTCACCACGCTACAATGTTTGGGTTACATGCCGCCGTCGCTATTCCCCTCCGTAGTGTCTACACCGGATCCGCTGATTTCGTGTTGGAGTTTTTCTTACCGAGGAATTGCCATGACGGTGAAGAACAAAAGCAGATGCTGAATTTACTATGTATTGTGGTACAACAAGCTTGCCGGAGTTTACATGTTGCCATGGACAAACAGGTCGAGGAAGAATTCACGTTTACAGTCGGAGACATGCTGGCTGCGGCTTCAAAAGGTGGAGCCCACAAAGAAGAAACTCTTGAGTTTGGGGGGTCTTGTAATTTAGAAGAACTGTCTTCAAAAGACTCGTCGTGGATTGCACATATGATGGAGGCTCAAACACAGCACAAGGGTAAAGGCGTGTCTGTGTCGTTGGAATACCTGGAAGAACCAAAACATGAGTTCAAAGTGACAACCAACTGGGAGGGCACTCACGGGGGATTCTGCCATGGGCAGACATTTTCTGATTATGTACAAGTTCACCAGAGCTCAGCAGTATCCAGGGCGAGTGTAGAGGGTGGAGGAGAATCTTATGGTTTTGGTGGACGCCGCTCATCGGGCAGCAGAAAATCAGGCGAGAAGAGACGAACCAAGGCAGAGAAGACTATCAGCTTGCCAGTTCTCCGACAATACTTTGCAGGAAGCCTTAAAGATGCTGCCAAGAGCATCGGCGGTACGATCAATCTATCATATATAATCGAGTCTAAATTGTTTTCCAACCATTTTTCTACACTTTTTACATGACTAATAAATTGGAACAATATAATTCGTCCGGTGTTGATCATGGAACAATTCAGTGCTCAAATGTATGACTCGTTCCATCCAAATTGCAAATCAGCATTCGTGTTCTACTTTATTCATTTATAATTCCCAATCTCATTGTCCTAGGTTCTAACCTGAACTTCTTCTGTTTAATTGCAGTATGTCCCACGACTCTTAAAAGGATATGCAGACAACATGGAATTACCAGATGGCCTTCAAGGAAAATAAAGAAGGTAGGACATTCGTTAAGGAAACTTCAGCTTGTGATCGATTCAGTGCAAGGTGCTGAGGGCGCCATTCAGATCGGTTCCTTCTATTCCAGTTTTCCAGAGTTGAGCTCCACAAATTTGTCTGGCAGTGGTCCCTCTCAGTCATCAAACATCAGCGGCGACCACTCTAAGAAAGTACATGCTCATGCCGAGAACGGCTTATATAGCCACGGTGGCACAACATTAAAATCTCCGCCCTCTTGTTGCAGCCAGACTTCCACCATCATCAACGCCGTGTCCAGTGGGGATGTTTTAATGGCAGAAAACCCGGAAGGGTCGCTCAAGAGAGCTCATACTCAAGTCGAAGCGGAGTTGCATGAGGATACAAAACATTTCGCAAGCCGGCAAAAGCCGCTTGGTGAGCATCCAAGTGTCGAGGTTTTGCCTCCATTGCCTGAAAATAGTGGGTGGAACGCGCGAGACGGAGGTGCTTTTAGGGTGAAAGCTACTTTTGGGGATGAAAAAATTCGTTTTAGCTTGCAGCCGAATTGGGGGTTTCGAGAACTGCAACTGGAGATCGCAAGACGATTCAATCTAGACGATGTGAGCAACATCGGTCTCAAGTATTTAGATGAGGAGGGTGAGTGGGTTCTTTTAACATGCGATGCTGATCTTGAGGAGTCTAAAGACGCATATCGATCATCTAAGAGCCGTACAATGAGGTTCGCCCTCTTTCAAGCTTCGCCGCTAAATCTGGCCAACACTTTTGGCTGCAACAGCTCATCCTGACACCAGTCGTCTTGTCTGTTCATTACATTATTCTAGTTCTAGCTGCCTGAATCATGTGCTGGTTCGAACCATCTGAGATTTACTGTCGTTGCCGTTATAGCAAAGAGAAAGAGAAGAGAGAACCATTATCCACTAGGATCTCTGTAAAATACTAATTAAACAAACAGATGCCACATCATAAACGTTCCACTATTATGCCTACATTCTACAACGGGCTGCGTCCATGACTATGGACCGTCCCCGTGTCACTCCATTCATTATTGGTTGAGCTGCATGAGATAATCTTGGATATATCTTGCAATTAAGTTACCCTTTTTACGGTAAATTTTGGAAAATTTATCTGTATACAATGCATGCTTGATCCTGGGGTTTTATCACAATCATTAATATAAGATTAACTTTGGAATATATAATCCTACGTTGTCTAATGTTTGACCTTGACTTTTATTTGTTTTTATAGTGAGTGAAAAAAATAACTAGAAATTGTCAATCATTGAATGTGGAATGATGACTTGTCCCTATGATAACATTCCATAAAATTGGAATGATACATAGAAGATTTGAGATTTGAGATGCCTAAATTGAGAAAAATATGAAATGACTTATTTGATTTTATCTATTTTAATTTGTTATATTATTGTAATTATCCTGATTAAAACTAGATGTGAATCATACATTTTGCAGTGAGTCTCTAAAATGAAAAACATTAATCATTATTTATTAATAGCACTACTTCTTATCAATTATATGTGTGAGTGTATAAATTGATTTCTAAATATAACATAACTAAAAAGCTAATAGGAAGTTGCGTCTGTGGCACCATCTTTCAATATTTTAAGCAGAAAAGAAGAAAAAATATTGTAGAATTTAAAATAAACAGAAGTGTAGTATTTGGATAAATAACTCCCGCCGGATAAGGTAGGAATTTTTTAGTATTTTAATAGGGTCTGGCTCAATTTGCCATTAAAACTGGTATAAAATTCATCATGTTACTTCTTTTCCTTGATTTTTAAAAAGGAGGAACTAATTGGTGTTCCTTTGATAGCGAAGGAGAAATAAAAATGGATTCGATGCTTATTGCAGCTTTGATCATCAATATTAAATGTTAGATGATCCAAGTTTAGTTCAATTTTATTTTTATATTAATATATGCATGATCTAAAAAACTTTTTTCCGAGGAAAAAGAATTTTGAATACTCCAAATGTCATTTTATTGTTGTTCACTAAATCTTGAGAAAATAAAAATTAGCCAAAAAAATCTTAAGAAAAAAGAGTTTGGTACAGAGAAGGGAGAATGCCTGCATCTAAAGATTTTGACCTCAATTTAGGGCTTGTTTAATTTTATTTTTGTTTTTCCGTTTGTGAAACTATATCCTTTTTAGAACATGTTTTGAAAACAAAAGATTAAAAAAAATGTCACAAAAAAAATTAAAAAAATTGTTTGAATAAATACTCTGAAAAATTATATTTAGAAACTAGATGTAAAAACGTGTTTGGTAAATTGCTTTAGCATGTTTTGATAATAAAAGAAGAAAAAAGAACTTGTTTGATTAATTTGTTATGTATAACTAATATTGACATGATTTTTTTATAACCACTTAAAATCATACTGCATTGATAAACTAATTTAATATCTTATTAACTATTTCAAAATTATAAAAAAGATTGTTTCTTTCTTTGTAATTGTAAAAAATAAAAGCAGAAAACTTGACATATAGTTTAACCCTCTCTCTTTTACCAAAAAAAAAAAAAAAACAAAGAAAGAAAGAAAAAGAAAACTTGACATAAAGTTAACCGCTCCTATCAATAATCATAGTAATCATCGACATAATTTTTCCGAGGCTCCACAAGCTTGATATACTTGAAAGGATCTGGGTGCTTTAAAAAACTGAATTTACTTAAATAGGAGCTAATGATTTTGATAAGAAGCACTTCTTAAGAGTACAAGTACAGTAAGCAGATTCGAAAAGGATTTTATTGAATAGTCAAATTAAACTCCATGATGACCCTTTCAATGAACAGTCACACTTAAAGGAAAAATAGGCTTGTAAGCAGCGCATCAATTTTTCTGTGGGAATTGTAGGCGGAAAACAAAAGTAGATCGGACCTAGTCAAGACCAATTAGAATTGCATTTTGCTTCCCATGAGAGTTATGCAGGTGAGGGGAGGGGAGAGAGAAAATTTGACTAACCCCACCCCACCTTCAAATTTTTTTTTTTTATTAACCGAACAATCTTTTTTCTTCCTCTTTCTTCCAAAACCTCCCCAACCAAAGTAAGCTTGGCAAAGACCAATTAATACAATCCTTGTTTTGATTTCACTATTTTGATTGGCAATATCGTAAGTTTGAGTTGGCAATATTTTTGGACTTGGTTTTACAGTGCAATTTTAAAAAAACTACTTACCTGATTATTTTATTAGATTAAGGATCATTTTTATTTTTAAATTACACATAAAAGGTCACAAATGCCCTTAAACTCAAATATGGATCAATTTTATTCCTTAACTTTAAAGATTCCCTCCGTCATCACCCTAATGTTGAAAATACTTAACAGTCCGTTAATTATTAATGGGTCCCATTATTTTTTAATATTTTTTATCAGGTTAAGGGATATTTTAGCCCCTTAAGTCAAATATTTTATAATAAAAAGTATTAAAAAAATAATGTGGGGCTTACTAACAGTCAATTAATAGTGAAAAAATGGTAACGTGATGAGGAAATGAATTTTTTAAGTTGAGGGACAAAATTAATTTATAGTTAAATTTAAAAATTTTTGTGACTTTTTGTGCATAATTCAGTGATAAAAATGACCTTAATCCTATTTTATTTTATTTTAGGTTGAGGAATTCTCCAAGGAAACCCTTCCATCTTGTGTTTCAGTCAATCTAATTTTTTCTTGTGCATGATTTTTCAAGACTGAGATAACATTATTGTAATAGTGAAATGTATATTATCGGCTACAAAGCCCAAGGCAAAGAAAGCCTTAAATAGATAGGTTACAAACCCTAGAGAGTAGGGTAAATAAAACATATGTATAGTGATAAAGAATAAAGAATAAACAGTTACAGCATGTATGCATAATATATTTATTGGGCCCAACTATTTTAGACTCTTGAACTTATTATTTGTATTGGGATTTAGCTTGCACTTCACTTTAGTATGGGCTTCTTTCTGCTTTATCTTAACATTTCCCTTCAAATGAGAGGTGATGGGGCTGTGCACCAGACCGAGTTTGTCGCAAAGTGTGCAGAAACGCGTTTGAGTCAGAGCTTTTGTGAACATATCAATGATTTGGTCAGATGAGGGAATATATCATACCATCGGTTTTTGACTGAGGACTCTATCATGGATGAAGTGCACATCGATCTTGATGTGCTTGGATCTGGCGTGAAGAACCAGATTTGAAGCTAGAGCTGCAGCACTCACGTTATCGCACCAGGCAATTCGAACTCGAGATAGAGGGAAGCTAACTTCTGAGATGAGACATTGAAGCCAAGTTAACTCAGCTGCGAGATCGACCAGGGCACAGTACTCAGACTCAGTGCTCGATAGAGAGACAACACGTTGCTTCTTACTTGACCAAGAAATTAGAGAGTCACCAAGGAAGACATAGTGACCACCGACAGACCTGCGATCATCTGGACATACTACCCAGTCAGCGTCTAAAAGCCCTTGTAAGGTGAGTTGGCTATTTGGCTTGATGTGTAAACTCAGATCTACAGTCCCTTTAAGATACCTTAGCACTCTCTTCAACGCTTGCCAGTGTATATCTGTGGGATTGCCTAGGAACTAAATTTATTTACTGCAAACATAATGTTTGGTCTGGTGTTTATAAGATATTGTAGTGCTCCGATTATCCTTTTATAGGGCATAGGATTTTTGAGTAAGATTCCATCATTCTTAGAGTAGTATTTATTTACTACCATAGGAGTAGGAACTAAAAAACAATTTTCCATTCCAAACTTCTTTAGTAAATCCAATATGTATCTTCCTTGCTTGAGATAAAGCCCCGTGTCATTTCTATAGGCTTCAATACCCAGGAAATAGTGAAGAGAATCAAGATCCTTGAGAGCAAACAAGGCATTTAGTTGTTTAACAAAGGTCTTAAGTGTAGATATAGAATTCCCAGTAGCTATCATGTCATCTACATAGATCAAAACAAACAAGACAATACCCTTTTGTTTAAAGAAGAACAAAGAGGAATCACATCGTGAGTTCATGAAACCCCTAGTAAAGTACGTCTTAGTCTTTCAAACCAGGCTCTAGGGGCTTGTTTAGGCCCATATAGTGCTTTTCTGAGTAGGCAAACATGATGAGGATATTTAGGATATGTAAATCCTTTTGGCTATTTCATAGACACCTTTTCTTGTAAAAAGCCATTCGAAAAAGCATTATTGATGTCTAGTTGCCTTATAGGCCAATTAAATGTCACTATAGTAATAATAATGAACCTTAAGGTTGTGGCTTTCAGAACTGGGCTAAAAGTTTCATCATAGTCAATACCAGGGCTTTGTTTAAAACCCTTAGCCACAAGTCTTGCTTTCCTCTTTTGTAGAATACCTTCAGCATTGAGCTTAGTTTTGAATACCCATTTGCAATCAACAATATTCCTCTGACCAGAAAATGGAACTAAAATCCATGTACCGTTCTAAATTAAAGCTTTGTATTCTTCAATCATTGCTGCTTTCCACTTCATGGATTGGAGTGCTTCCTTAACACTTCTAGGTTCAACAAGTTCAGTATTTTCAACTTGAGCTACTCCAACATAAGGAGCTTTTGGTTTATGAATACCTGCTTTACTTCTTGTAATCATATGATGTTGATTTCCTCCTTGACTAATATCCCTGGATGACTGCACGTTATTCAAGTTTGAGTTAGTATTTTCATGTTGTTGTTCTGTATATTGAGTGTCTCTCGGAATTTCTGATGCATTTGTGACTGATACAGGTGAACTGGCATATAGCTAAGGCAAATTTTGCTGTAAAGAAGAGACAGAAGTGGAATGTGAGTTTGGTTCAGATGCAGAAATCTAACCACCTACAATAGTGGTTGAGCTTGGACAGAAACTTAGGCGAAATGAACTGAGTGGTGCAAAGAAGATGCTTGGATCTACTTGTTCTTGAGGTAAGGCTCTCTTGTTTATAAACCTTGATTCAAAAGGAAAATTAGATTCATTGAAAACAACATGTCTGGATATGAGTATTTTTCTTGTAGAGGTGAGACATTTAGACCTTTTATGAGAGTTGTTGTAGCCTAGAAAAACATATCTAGAGGATTTGAATTGTAATTTATGTCGATTATAAGATCTCAAACATGAATAACAGGCAGATCCAAACACCTTTAGATTCTCATAATTAGGGTTTTTCCTAAAAAGTCTAAGATAAGGTGAAATACCCCTAAGACAGTGGAGGGAAGTCGATTCATAAGCTCAGCAGCAATGTGAAAAGCTTCCCACTAATAGTGTAAGGGCATTTTAGCTTGAGCCAAAAGAGTTAGTCCAACTTTAGCAATGTGTTTGTGTTTTCTCTCTGCACGACCATTTTGAGCTGAAGTATGAGAGCATGAGTGACGAAAAACAATACCAGAATCATGAAGGAATTTAGTGAAACTACGGTATTCTCCTCCCTAGTCACTTTGAACTATCTTAATATAAGTATCAAATTCTTTTTCTGCATAGTTTTTGAATTGAATGAACATGGGCAAAGCTTCTGTAATGACCCTAAATTTTAAATTTTTAAAAAAATTCTTCTAATAGATATTTTATTTAAATAAGTTTAACAGTAAGTAGAAAGGGATAGCTTATAAGAATTTATGCTAGAAACTTCCTCAAAGACTTAAGGTCCAAAGTTTTCTGAGCAAAAGTTTGATTTTAACATTTAAGAAAATGTAGTGTCCTTTCCTGTAATTTTATTATTTTTTTTTGATTTTCTCATGTTCTTTTTTGTAATTTTTCCAAAACTTCTTTTCTTTAGTTTTTATATCTTGCGTGAAAGCAAAAACAGAGCATTTTGGTATTTTCTCTTCACCGATTTAGATTTCGTTTCTTTCATCATTCTTGAAACCTTCCTCCTCACTTTTGAACTTATTCTTCTTCTCACCGGTGGCGTGCATCTTGCTTCACTAGGTCATCTCTTCTGTTGAGCGTGCGAAGTGATCAGAATCCTTCATTCATCCCTGTTTTTTACTGCTTCTTTGTTCAGGTTCAACGGTTCTGTGTGCATGTGGGTTTAGCTTCAGTTTTTCTTCCTCCTCAGTTGTTAGAGGCTTGTGTGTGTGTGAATAATAAGCTCAAGTTTTTTTCTTCTAGTATACAATTCTGTTGCTCACTGTTGGTCTGCGTTGATCCTTACTGTTGCGTCTTTGTTGTTGGGAGAGTTGGGGCAATTGTTTTCTGTTTGTCTCTGTTTTGGGTTGACAGTGGTAGTGTGTGCGCATTCAGCTGCCACTTTTCTTCCTCCTTAGTTGCTGGACACCACGTGTGTATGGTGAGCTCAAGTCTTTCTCTTTTAGGGTCCCTAATTTTCTGCTCCTTCTTCTCGTTTGAACAGCAAAGAAGAAGCTTTTCTTCTCTCCTTTGGCATCATCCGTGAGCTTAGGTGTGGCTGAAGCTATTGTATTTTGGTTTGTGGTAAGTTGTTGATCCTTTCTTCTTCCTCTCCTGACCGAAAGAGGCATCTCTGCTCATTATTGTTCTCTTGACTTTGAGAAAACTGAGGGGTTGTTTGGTTAATGATGGATGCCAACTTATTTTGATATTGAGTTGAATCTTGGTTGTAGGATTAAATATTTGAAGTTGTTTGAAGTTTTGAATGTTGATTTCAAACTTTAGCTTACGGTAACACGCTCAAGGTATTGGTGAAAATACTTGGAAAAAAAACTGGTGGAAATAAAATTGTTTAATTTTTATATTAGAGCCTAAAGAAATTTATGCTACTTAAGAAAGTATATGTCTTTGCATACAAGTTGTAAAGTTGATTTACTCATTGGATTTGTATGGCACCAAAGAGGGAAATTGTTAGGGTATGTGATGATTAAGGTTTTTGTTAAACATGGAATAAGAAGAGTGTTAATAGTTGGGGTTGAATGTTGTTTGATTTTGTTGAATATTTGATAGAAATTGTTGGAAGGTTCAGTGAGAATTTAAGGGATAATGAAAAATTTAAAGAATATTTGAAGAGTCTGAATGTTAATTTCGCTTGTTTTTATTAAGAAGGGAAAATCATAATGATATAAGAGTTGTTGGTTTAAATGCTAGATTAATGTGGAGTATCACCGGAGTAAGTGGGAAATTGAGGGAGTCTAATTATAAGATTATTGAGAAACTCTCAAGTGAGTGGGTAGCGTTCCGAATGAATTTCAAGCAATTGTTTATAAAAATTCTTTTACTTAAATTTTAATACTATTTCTTTATTACTTATATAAACATTCTTGTCAATTCTATTTTTTTATAATTATTTTATTAATGATGATATCTTGATTTTACTAATGATTTATGCTATTGATAAGTAATAATTAAAGTTGATGTAAAAAAACAACTCAATTGTTTAACTTTATATTTGATATGAAAACTTTTAGTACAATAACTCGTGCATGGAAGAAATGACAATGAATATAGGAATGGAAGATGACAACTGAATCATATATTTTGAAAGTGAAAATTTTGAAATTGTTTTTCAATCCTGTGCATGCTTGAATTTAATTAGGGGGACTGAGTTCAGAACGTGGATGCTAACAGTAGTTCCGTTAGCCCTTGGCATGCCATGGAACACCTAGTTAGCAGAGTGTTTATAGGAGGTGCTAGCCTCGTGCAAAGGCTAATACATGTGAATTGGAGGGATGGTATTCGTGAGCATTGTAATCACACTTGTTTTCATGGGCTTCATGCCTGCGCTTGATTCGTGGCTCTTGTCGTGCTTGTTTTGTGGCTTCTAGCCGTGCTTGATTGGTTACTTACCCTCGTAGACTGTATGTCCATATTTGATTGGTTATTTATCCTCGTGGACTGTGTGTCCATGCTTATTATTTATTCTGATAAAGCCCTCCTAAATTTAAAATTGAAATTTATTATTTCTATGAATTCTCTAAAAGCATTTTACTTAATTGTGTCATTACTTGAAATTATTACATTTTATGGGTAGTACAAACCTTAATAAATTTATATTGTTCTATTACTATTGTTAAATTTCACAATTATATTATTGAAAAATAATTCGTCTTTATTGTTAATTCAAGTAAATGTTTCGTTATTTCATAAATTGTTTTAGACTAAATTTATTAGTTCTATCTTCTTAATTATTTTAATTATAATTATGAGTGAAACGCTACTCACCAAAAATTTATTTGGTTTCAGATATTGTAGCTGACTCTGCACTTCCTACTAATCATTGAGAGGCCTCATAGTTTTTTTGTACAGTGGAAGTACCTTTTGATTGTCTCTTAGGTAAAAACTATATTGTGGTGTTAGGTTGTAATTTAGTGCTTCACGTGTATCATAGTTAGATTTTAGTTTTATTTTGCTAATATATAATCTGCTGATGTGGAGCTAAGCTCCTTTGTTGAATTGGATGATAGGTTTTATTATTGTAGAAATTTTGGGAGGTCTAATTTAGGAGGGAGACTGTTGAAATTTTTACAAAATATTTAAGATTTTTTTATAACCTTATAATTATATATATAAATTAGTTATCAATATTTTAGCTTAACCTCATAATTACGGCTTATGGAATGTAAGTTTATCTCAGATTCTGTGCCGATCATACCCTTTGTACTGGGGTGTGACAGCTTCATCTTTGGTTTTTAAAGGATAAATCCAGAATAACGATTGCAGTCATCAAGAAATAAAATATAATATTGAAAGTCATGTGTGGAGGCTAGGGGAGAGGGACCCTATAGATCTGTATGTACTAATTCAAAAGGTTTAGTGGCATGTGAAGGAGATAGTTTGAATAGTAGAGAATGCGATTTACCAAATTTGCATGACTCACAAAACAAAGGCTCTTCTTTACCAATAATTTTCAAATTACATTCATTAATAACTCTTTGCAAAATCCTATCATTTAGATGTTAAAGTCTACAATGCTAATAGTTTCTTGCTAGTTTTAGAATTAAAACTATTTTTCAATGCTGTATCATCTACATTTTCAGCAACAAAAGTTAGATCTTCTCTGCTACCATTCTTTTGAGCCTTTCTTTCGTGAATGCAAAACATGCCACTAGTTGGTTGCCCCTACAATATCACTAGCCCTGTTTCTTGAGACTTAACACAAACACCACTTAATTAAACACCATATCAGCATAATTATCAGCAGCTACTTTGTACACATTGATCAGATTTTTATTAGCTTCATGTCACGGATGATATTTCCGTGACCGTGTAAAGACCAAGATAATGAACGGTCCGCTGGTTAGCCTCGCACAATATGGGTAAAGGGGGCGACATTAGCATTAGGGGTGTTCTGCCTCAGTCTTCAGACTGTGTGCACAACTGGTCGGGGGCTAGTGCCGCCTCCCTGATGAGCCCATGGCAGGGCGAAACCAGTGTGATCCGTACGTGGTAAGGCTTGTCCTGAGGATTATGGGGTCCTCCAGGACGCCGCACGGGCGCCGTGTGCTGCGCCAGACTCTCAGCCCGTGACAGAGTGGTATCAGAGCAGGACGTACTTTACTGTCGTGTGTGCGTGGGGTCCCACGTTGGGACTGGTCGGCCTCGGCACTGCTCCAGAAAGGCCTCCGTGCAGGTGGGTCCAAAAGTGGGGACTCGGGCGGGAAGGTTGGCCGTTGTCGACTCCACTCCTGTTGGCTCGCGGGTGCGAGTGGGTCCGAAGAGTGCAGGACTCGGGTGGCCACTCAGCAAGTAAGCTGGTGTGTTTGTGGCAGTACTGTACGCACGATCCTTGGGCGGAGTCGTTCTCCCCTAGCACGAGGGCGTGCTAGATTGGGTGTGGGAGAATGTCACGGATGATATTTCCGTGACCGTGTAAAGACCAAGATAATGAACGGTTCGCTGGTTAGCCTCGCACAATATGGGTAAAGGGGGCGACATTAGCATTGGGGGTGTTCTGCCTCAGTCTTCAGACTGTGTGCACAACTAGTCGGGGGCTAGTGCCGCCTCCCTGATGAGCCCATGGCAGGGCGAAACCAGTGTGATCCGTACGTGGTAAGGCTTGTCCTGAGGATTATGGGGTCCTCCAGGACGCCGCACGGGCGTCGTGTGCTGCGCCAGACTCTCAGCCCGTGACATTCAGGTGTGTAGAGAATATTATTGAGTTTAACACTATGGTTAGGAATATTTTGAACAGTAGAAGAACCAATTTTCTTAACATTCAATTTCTGTCCACTGCAAGTAACAATTCGAATCTTACCCTTTGTATCAACAGGATTGTCAATGCGAGCAAGGTCATTAGTTACATGACTAGTGGCCCCACTATCAAGATACCAAGCATCATCCACAATTGTTTCAAGAGTTTCCTAAAAAGCATTGTACTTAGAGGAGGAGGAGGAAGAATTTTTGCCATTCTAATTCTGTTTTTTGCATCCTCCTTTAGTAAAGTTTCTGTCAAACCGATAGAAGCACTGCTCAACATGTCTGAACTTGTCACACAATTAGCATTGAGGACGTTTTGAGTTGCTAAAATTCCTGAAGCAATTTGAATATTCACCACCACCTCGACTATTCCTGCCTCATCCTTTGTGACCACCATGACCACGAGAACGCCATCTGGGGCTAGATGAAAATTGAGCATGAGCAATATTAGCAAACTGTTGAGAAGTTTAAAGATGAGAAACTTGTGTTAGTTGTTCAACATGACTTTGAAATGCAAGCAATTCAGCTTGGAAATCAATCTAACTCAATTCATCTGACTCCTTAGCAAGCTGAACAACTACTAGATTGTACTCAGAATCAAGACCAGCAAAAGTTTAGAGAATCAAATTAGGCATGGGAATGGGATGACCAGCAGTAGTGAGTTATTCTGAGAGATGTTTCATTTTAGATAAATAATCATTCATAGAGGATGTACCCTTTCTGGTACATTGGATTTCAGTATAAAGCATAAGAATCCTAGCCTTTGTTTGTGCTCTAGCAAGGTATTTTGCTGCTTTCCACAGAGTAGTAGAAGTAACATGAGTCATTTAAGAAGAAATATCCAAGGTTATTGTGTTTAAAAGCCATCCAAAAAGAATCTGATCAGCTGCAACTTAGTCTTCGAATTTTGGGTTAAGTTTGGTGGCATCATTTTTTGTAATAAATTGAGCAGGGCAAGGTTTTGTCCCATTAAGAAAGCCTTCAAGCTTAAAACCTTGAATAATGGGCAAAACATGAGTCTGTAAGACAATAAAGTTGGTTCTATCCAACTTGATAGCAACCTTAGTGGGTAAAGATGTGGGAGGTCCACTAGTAGCCTTCCTAAGATTGGTGGCAACAAGAAATGAGCTGGTAGAGTTGTTGGAAGACGTGTGGACTAATTGTTCTTAAGCCATAGCTGTGCTTTGATACCAAGATAAAATTACTTTGACAGTGAAATGTATATTGTCAGCTACAAACCTCAAGGCAAAGAGAGCCTTAAATAGATAGGTTACAAACCTTAGACAGTAGGGTAAATAAAACATGTGTACAGTGATAAAGAATAAAGAATAAATAGTTACAGCACGCATGTACAATATATTAGTTAGGCCCAACTAATTCAGACTCTTGGACTTATTATTTGTATTGGGCTTTAGCTTGCAATTCACTTTAGTATGGGCTTCTTTTTCTTCGTCTTAATAGACTGGAATTAAACCCCCCAAAAAAAAGTCTCTGTATATTCAATGAGTAAAATCAAGATGCATAATTTATCTAAAATTTGGTAAAAAATAAGAGAAAACGTGTCTAGTTTCTATCAATTATACTAAAATTCTTTAAAGAAAGAATAAATATAAATGTTTTAGAAGTTAAAAGAAATAACATATATCAAAAGTCTTAGAGATTCAAGGGGTCGAGCATTGAGTTATTGTCAGATTCTTTTCTCTCCTTGCATCTTCACTTTTGGATATTGCCACTCCTCTTTTTGCTTTGTCCCCCATCTTCACAAGCTCTATCTTCACCTCCTTTTCGTTGCCATCACTGATCGCCCATTGTGCTTGCTGTCGTTGCAATCTAAGGAAGTCGAGGGTAGGTTCCATTAAGATTGCTTAGTTCCTTATTTTCTTCTTTTGTTGACCGTGTTGCTCAATATCTATCAAGCTTGCTAGATCTACATATTCTTGCTTTTCATGGTCCTCGTTTGATGTTTGCCATCATTGCACTCGCCGGATTAGCTCTCTATTGTTGTCACTAAATTCACAGAAGGCAAGGAACTCCAATCCTTTGAAACTAACATAAAGCTTAGCCAAGGACAAAGAAGAAAAAGTTGCACTTCTAGTTGTAGGATGTTGATTCGATGAAGATAGGATACTAATTTTTGGTTTCCTTGGGTTTTCTGATTCTGAATGGAACTTTGATTTGTTGGTTTTCATAGCTGGATTTTTTTACCCTCTACGGACAATGTCTAGATTTTGCATATTTTCTTTTCTTATTTTTTTTCTCTTTATTTGTTTATTATTTTTAATTTAATTTTAACTTTTCCTTTCTTTTTAATCTTGAATGGAGCTTAGTATTTGATCACCTTTGGATATACTTTAATTTTCATTACTTGTTCCTTTTCTTTTGTCCACTGGGTGTTAATAAGTAATTGCTGAATTAATTTTTCCAGTTAAGTAGAATGGACTAGAAGAAATTCACAAATAATGGAAATCGATGAAAAATATTAATGAAGATTTTTTAATTTATCAATTTATTTTATATTTTTTAATTCAACTTTTTTTTAAATTTATAATTTGAAGTTTAATATTTTTTCCAAAAATATCAAATTAATAACTAAAAATATCTACAAAAAATTTACATTCATTTTTGTCATTATATATATCTCAACTAACTTTTAAATCAAATCATTTAAATCCAATTGACTTCTAAAAAAAAAAAAATTGCATCCAAATATAAATTATGTTAAAGTCACAAACCTTTGTCATAATCTTAGTTTGTTAATCTCAATTGATTTTAACCTCAATTGTAAATTTTTTAATCCTACCACACCCTTAATCATATAGTATAGTATTTGTGATGGTCAAAACAACCAAAATAACATAAAATAGTAGTCCATGGAATGAAGTTTCTCTAACACCATATACACAGAGAGAAGATAATCATAATCTTCAGAACAAGTCTAAAATCATCCTGAAAGAGGTCCAGAAGGGGCGGGAGGAATGTCTTCCAGTTGGTCCTTAAAGATTGTGTACTTGGACGGAGGGCCAAATAAACTCAATGCTACCTGGAAAAAGGCAGGCAGGGTGCAAAATTGCTAAGGGAATGCTTGCCACAATTATATTATATTCATATATAGATCCATGATAAAGAACTATCCTCCGAAGAGTGGCGGGGTAACTTCACCTTTTCATCACTTATAGTTAGTAATACAAAGATCAAACATAAAAACATTTCATCATTAACTTGCCAACTAGTTACTCAAAAATCGAAGGCAAAAGCTCACATCTGTTGCATCAATAACATGTGACCAGCAAAACCCACAAAATGGAAGAGGACCAAAACCTACCATAAAGAGCCGAGCAAGAGGAAATTATGAAGACTTACTGGTAGAAACACAAGCCCGTGCAAGAAGCCAATGACAACCAAAGCCAGATACATCTTGAAGTAATATACCTAAAAAAAAAAAAAAAAAAATCTCTGGTTTCAGTAATTATAAGCCAATGACGACTAAAACTAGTTTATAATTCCCGAGCAGAAAAATAAATGTCAATAGCCAATGGAGATATCACATGCCACGAATATTTCTGATCTTGAGAAGCAAAGGACAAGAACCCCAACTAATTTCGTAAGTGTAATTCCACTGCCAATATAAAAACAGAAAAATGTTTAGTTATTAGCATAGAAAACAAAATTCAGAATTTGTAGCAGATGCGCCAATTCCGAGGATGCAGTAAAAGGAAACTAAACACAATTGATATTTTGGGGAGAGAGAATTCAAAATTGAAATCGGAGAGCTTTATGGAAAGCAATAGAGCTGGCGGATTTGATAAAACATAGAAGAGGGAATCAATGAAGACCAAGAAGGGAGAAGAGAAAAACACTTCTAGTTCTGGTATCTATCCCACGGATCCTAGTAGTAAGGAAAAGTAAAATCTTGACTAGTGACATTTTGGGGGCTGACTAGGGGTATAGCCTGCGTTCGAAGTGGTGCTGGATAGTTTTTGGGATTTTAGAGGCCTTTCCGCTGTTTTGAAGGCTCATGTGATGTATTTTGGAAACTGAGTATGGTGAGGAGAGCCTGGCCTCTCGAATGCCAGCAATAGAGCCTTGGTCAGAATCAGTGAAGTTCCTTGTAACATTGATTCAGTATTTTTAAGCATTAATATCAAAACCTAAAGATTTCCCTCATTTATTTCTTCTGCTTTTATTTCTGTATTTGGCTTTCATTGTTAGCAGGGTTGCATCAGAAAATAAGCTTGATTTGCAATTAGAATTGAAGTTAAACCAATAACTATAAGGCATAATGTGGGGCCCAACCAAGTAACAAATTGCTGACATTCTTACCAAGGGAATTTCAAGACAGAATTTTGAAGATTGTGTGAGCAAGGTGAATAAGGCTTGTTGTAGTTGTTGTGTGAGCAACTTGGACATGATTAATGTCTATGACCTAACTTGAGAGAAGGAAGGGGGGGGGTTGTAAAAACTTATGGTCACTTGACAGATTGTCTGGTGTGGCTTAAACAGGCGCCAACATGGCTGTTAATTAATGACTTGAAAGTGTCTTTTTAACCCAAAAATGAATCAATTAAATAAATTTTATAAACCAAGTCCAAAATGTTTAACTTTTCTAGGTAAAAAACTCAATAATCCCATCAAGATTATTTTTCTTTTTCTGCAAAAATCACATGGGTAATAATTTTCATCATTATCTATTATCCTTGAATATCTTTCACTATCTTTAAAAAGTTGGTCGTTTTTTTTTTCCCTCCCTTGCTTAGGACCATCACTAATGTTACAGATAGATCCTAGCTAGGAAATTGGGTTGAACATTATGCCATATCCTATGGCTAATGAGATTTGGGAAGTGGCAACGGAGATATTTTCTTCCATGAAGAACAAAGCTGCAAATCTTGAATATTGAAGGTTTCTTGCATGACTTTTGACAGGGCAATCTACATGTTAATGACTACTATAACATTTAACACCTTTGTGCGTCATCGGTAATGACTTGACTTGAATGAACCCAATTTTGCACTCCCATTCTGCCGTCAATAGTGAATCGAGCCAGACGAGGCACCAGTGACTGCTCCCGGGATTATTTCATTTTCACTCAATCTTCACACGTTTGCTACTACTAAAACACAATCAAGGTTACAAATATTATCAAAACACCAAAGAATAAACCTGAATACAGAAGCACCCATGGTACTCAACGCTGTCTTTGCTCGTTGATTCTTATCCCCGGAGCATACCTGTATAAATAGAAGCCACATGAAAAACTTACCAAACAAGCATATCTGCAAGTTACCAGTGGTAAGATTGCCTTGAATTTCCCTCAAGGCACAAGACTAGAATTTTTTAAGGCAAAAAAGAATCTGAATTGCAAGAATAATAATGATACAAAAAACTGCACTTGCATAAAAAAGACGAGTTAGGGAATTAGAAAGCCCCACTATGACAAATGCTACTAATCTGATCTATACGATCATACTAATGGAGAATACACCTCAAATAATAAATCATACTAACCATAAATGCATGTGCTATATGAACGCAAAACTCAACAGCAATCCCTATCGACATTATAATGTTTACAACAGAGACTGCATTTAGTTGAATATCCAGAATTGCCATCACACCCTGCAAGATTCAGCAAAGCTAATAAATTTTATTTTACTTTTTTTTTTCTTTTTTAATTTTTGGCTCCAAATTAGAAAAGTAATAAGCAGACATAAAAATAGACGTAGAAGTCAGCAGACATTGTGAAATGGAGTACACAGCAGACAGGCACCGACTGAAAAGAGGAAGAAAGAAATAATGGACAGGAAAAGGAAAATGAAAAAGTGAAGCCATTCGAAAGATGTAGCAAAATTAACTAAAAAGATGAAATATACCATGAGGTCCACAATTATCATGATCAGAACAACTACGATGATTGCTGAACTCCACAAGCTGCATTTGGAAAAAAATCAGATAGAAAAGGAAAAGCAGATTACAATTTAGTCCTGATAACGATAAAAATTCTCCAAACTACCATAATTACACAACGCTACATTTTAATGGAATTCTACCTGGAAGTAATAACCAGACAAACAACAAAAACAGCACCTGTATGTCATCCAGAGTTAGAGATCTCCCAGGCTCACAAAAGTGTTAATTAAATAGTTCATGTCAACGAGAAAGGAAAAATGGACAACAAAAAGAGAGAACGGAATAGCAACCTAGTGCTATGGTAATGTTGATCAAGGCTATCTTCCAAATATCCAGATATTGTTCAAAGAAGATATAGAACACCGAGTATGGAAAAATATCCATCTGCATTAAATACATTATAATCACAAAATAGAAAATTTAATAGAAGTACAATCTATAATATAAGAAACATTGGCGGAGACTATGAAAGAGAAAATAGGAATTGTCAAATTGTAAAGAAATGGAAAGTGTGAGGATCACGCAAACAAAAACCACTAGAGACTGCCAAAAAAAAAAAAAAAAGCCAATAGAGGCTGAAGATTGGTGCAAAACGCTGGATGTATTGATATAAACCTATGGGTACATTTTAAGTACAAGAACCCAGTCTAAAAGGAGGAGTTAATGCTCCCTAGAAGAAGAAGAAGAAGAAGAAGAAAAGATTAATCCCCTACCACATTAAAATCAAAGCTACCTAGCATTAACTAGTTGACTACCAACAAACAAGGAAATAAACATAAAACCATAATGAATTTGCCATTCATTAAGCTGTAAATCAGGGATTTAGTAGAGATAATTGTACACTTCATTTGAAAATAGAGGCAATTCCTACCTTAGCATTCTCCCCAGGCCTTATTTTGAGTCATTGCTTAATTTATGAGAGATTATGGTGTAAATGACAAAAATCAATGTGAAACAGACTTCTCAAGAGACACGAGTCATTTACAGTTGTGCAAACATCCTGACCACAATGTTTAAGTTGCCTTTGCTAAATTATTTCATGCCACAATGCAGTTGGCTCTCATGGAAAATGCCACAATCATATTTAATTTTCAAAGAAATGTTTTCAAACAACTAGTCCTCAATCTTTTGGGCCATAAAGAAAGAAAAATTAGATGAATATGTCACTTCTTCAAGTAGGGGCATTCTTGATCCTTATGATGTTTAGTGGTGGCTGAAATAGCACAGGGTCTCGGCCATGTGGTTTTATATTTCCACCACTCTTCCACCTTTGTAAACCAACATCAGAGATGAAGTAAAAGAAATGTATGAGCTAGATATTTTGGAAAAAGAAAGGAGCCTGACCCCATTTAATTGTGAAAGACTCCAAATAAATTGGAATATGGTTAAATATTAACCAA